TGCAGGAGATGAGCCGTATCCAGAGCCACGAACACGCGACAATTTCCGTTCAATCCGCCGCGTACCCAGTGGATCTACAGCAATCCATTGATCTCTGAGGATACGCCGGGGGCGAGGACGAGACCACCACCAATCGACTTTTTTTTTCGGGGCGGATAGAAACCGTTGATACTGTTCTCATAATTGGTCTGAAGTTATTGATGGTAAAGTTTTAGTTGAGTTTATTGGGTTCTGGTTTACAGTGAGGGTTTGGATTGAGGAGTGGATAGAATTGTCAATTTTTTATTTATCATTGACAGACTGTCTTTTGGTTTAACAATTGAAATAAAATAATCTGGTCAACACGTGAAATTATCCCCTTGTTTGTGCCTTCTTTGAAATTTCGGAGATATTGTTTTCTTTTTCAATTATGTGAATATGTTTCAGTGCTTGGAGAAACCACAAATTATTTCTTTTTTAAATAAACGATTGTGTATTTATGCAAATTTGATTGGTTTTACAACAGTTTTACAATATAGTCGGTCGTTTTTTTTCTTTAATCGTAAACGAGATGACACCTGGGTTACACCATAACAAATTAATGACAGTTACGTGACTTCTTGCCCTCGTTAATTAATTTTTCATGTATCTGGTGATCTTATAATTCCGAATTCGTCAATTCTGTTGCGAAGCAATGAACTACGATGAACGCATTTATTGGATGCCAGTTTCCAGTAAAATATTGAATATCCCGGAATAGAAGGAAGCCGGCTATTTGTATAGGATTATTTTCCCATAGCTCTCATATTTCACGACAAAAAATGTGTGCGCCAAAATAATGATATCGTCTGTCATTTCCATGATGTTTGGAAAAAAAACTGGCACCGAAAAAATGGCTAATTACTTTGCTGCAGAATTGTTTTATTCTTCCCTGGTTCACCTGTCTTTCACCAGGACGGTACGGAGCTCAGCTCCCGCCTGACACACAAATAAATACTTGTGAATAATCTTCAAAACGATAAACAATTCTCCACGATATCGCTGCAAAAAAATGATGAAAATTTCGGTTCTCCCCCAATAATTCTATATGTGGCGATTTAATACCAAAGAAATACTTTTTTCATCGCCAATTTTTTCACATTTTTTTAATCAATAGACTTAATCAAACCAGTCATTAAAATCCTTGAGGATTCTCATCTTTAACGTTTACTCATACCACTTCCCCCTAATTTAAACCATACTCTTGTTTTCATTCAACTGCTCCTTTAATATTAAATTTTTCTTAAATCGATCGACTGACTCACTTCACCAATACTTATTTATTGTATTTTTATGGTAGTAATCTTGATCGTATTATAAGAAAAAATGTGACGATATGATAGATTTTACATCGGCGTACAAAACTGCTCCAGTAAATTAAACTAAAAACTGTATTCACGGAATTTTCATCAATAAAAAATGAGCATTATCACTCCATACATTTATATCCTATCCAATAATTAATATCTAACAACCAACATCCGATCCTCAATCCACCTCTCAAAATACAAATAGCTCGAGGATATCAGTTTTATACGTCGTAGTACATTAACTCGTGTTGGGTGACTTTTTAACAAGTTCTGACGCCACTAACGTTTTATTTATGTAAAATAATAGTTAATAGTACTCTCTGAATAGTTTCTCTTAATTTGTGACGCCAGAGTCCGTTGGCTTATCGTCCTTTGGCACATGATCTTGGCCAATGAGTGGATCGTCGAATCGTACGAATTGAAAAATTCGAAGAATCGACTTGCAATTATGAAAAATAGAAAAAAAAATTAAATAACTCGGAGAATAATTCTGAAAAACCTGCAATAAGATCTCCCTTTATTTTCGACACAACACTCGGAGGAATTCGCCTGTATCAGACGTTGGCATTGTAGAGTGCAACTGTCCAGTCGATATATCCACCCAAAGAGGATTGACTGAAGTAGAGGCTCAGTTCTGGGGGTTTGAGTCACCCCAGCGGCATCATTGTATTTTACCCCAAGAGAGGGAGGGCGCCACACGTAATGGGGGTGAAAAATTGAAAAAATGAAAAATTTCCAAAATGTATCAGAGGAGCATAAAAATGGAAGAGGTATTCACTGAAATTTGAAATTTAGAAATTTTTCGAAAAGTATCAGGGGAGCATGAAAATCGAGGAGGTATTCACTGAAATTAAAAAATACGAAATTTTCCAAAAAGTATCAGGGGAGCATGAAAATCGAGGAGGTATTCACTGAAATTAAAAAATTCGAAATTTTCCAAAAAGTATCAAGGGAGCATGAGAATCGAGGAGGTATTCACTGGAATTGAAAAATTTAAAATTTTCAGAAAATAAAACTCACCCAGTTGATTGGTCCCTGACAGCGGGACTGCTACTGAGGCAGTTACCGAGTCGACTGACGGGCAGACACCCCACCATTGGGTGCGGCCCCCCTCTTTCTCTTGGGGTGACTTGGGGGTACAACAAGGCCGGTGGGGTCACTCAAACCCCCGCTGAGTGGCCCACCCCAAGAGAAAGAGGGGGCCGCACCCAATGGTGGGGGGTCTCTGCCCGTCTGCCGACTCCGGTCACTGCCTCAGTAGTAATCCCGCTGTCAGAGGGATCATCGACGCGGTGAATTTTATTTTCTGAAAATCTTTAATTTTTCAATTTCAGTGAATGCCTCCTCGATTTTCATGCTCTCCTGATACTTTTTAAAAAATTTAAAATTTTTCAATTTCAGTGAATGGCTTCTCGACTTTCATGCTCTCCTGATACTTTTTTGAAAATTTAAAATTTTTCAATTTCAGTGAATGCCTCCTCGATTTTCATGCTCTCCTGATACTTTTTTAAAAATTTAAAATTTTTCAATTTCAGGGAATGCCTCCAGGATTTTCATGCTCTCCTGATACTTTTTTGAAAATTAAAAATTTTTCAATTTCAGTGAATGCCTCCTCGACTTCCATGTTCTCCTGATACTTTTTTGAAAATTTAAAATTTTTCAATTTCAGTGAATGCCTCCTCGACTTCCATGCTCTCCTGATACTTTTTTAAAAATTTAAAATTTTTCAATTTCAGGGAATGCCTCCAGGATTTTCATGCTCTCCTGATACTTTTTTGAAAATTAAAAATTTTTCAATTTCAGTGAATGCCTCCTCGACTTCCATGCTCTCCTGATACTTTTTTGAAAATTTAAAATTTTTCAATTTCAGTGAATGCCTCCTCGACTTTCATGCTCTCCTGATACTTTTTTGAAAATTAAAAATTTTTCAATTTCAGTGAATACCTCCTCGATTTTGATGCTCTCCTAATACTTTTTTGAAAATTAAAAATTTTTCAATTTCAGTGAATGCCTCCTCGATTTTCATGCTCTCCTGATACTTTTTTGAAAATTTACAATTTTTCAATTTCAGTGAATGCGTCCTCAATTTTTATGCTCCTCTGATACTTTTTTAAAAATTTTTTATTTTTGCAGTGCAGTACTACGATGCCGCTTGGGTCACTCAAACCCCCAGAACTGAGCCTCTACATTAGTCAATCCTCTTTGCTTCGAACATTCAACTCGCACAATTCGACGAGTGGTATGTAAATAATACTATTCTCCATTAACATTCCCATTCATTTCCCTCTCAATCATCATTCATCCGATATTTTCCATTAATAAACATCGATTCTAGTCCCTCACACGCATTTTAAATTACAATTAGTTAGTTATAATCCCTTTGTTAAAAATTTGGTGATTAACAGTAGTTTTGTCCACATGCATTCAAACAAAATTGCATATTCAAATAGTTTGATCAATCATTCCCGTGCATTTTGATTCAGTTCATTATCATCATAATCTTTGGTAATGTGTCTGAGTATGGCAGTAAAATGTCGTATGTTATCAATTGTTCACATGCATCATTGCCAGGACCATTGTTACTCATCGTGTCCATCATTACTATTCCTTTTCAAAATTACTTCTGATTCTCATTTGATCTGCGTACAATTATTTACATCATATTAACATCATTGCTTCCACCCGCATGTCACACACCTATCTACAATTACTGGTGAATATTCTACCAAATTTACAACTACTGGAATCATCTCTATACGGAGAGAAAAATACTCGAAAAAGTATGTGAGAAGTTCCGTAAAAATTAATGTTTGAAACGTAAACGTGGGGCGAACGGTGAAAAGTACTTCACGGCTAGAAAAATTTACGAATCAGTTTCGTAAAATTTACTGTACCGTATTTTCTCACGACCTCTGGCATGTCAGGCAAGAATTTTACCCGTACACCAGAGGTTTGTTATATTTATTGTGTCGATGAGTCAACACGACTGCCGAGGTGACGTCCTTAGAACTGTAAAAAGTACAGCTCTAGTCTCGTAAAAGTTACATGAAATTGAGTAACCTTTACGTATTTTGCCGTATTTTTAACGAAAAACTGCAAGTTTCAGGAATTTGAAAAAAAAATCAAATAATACCATTTAGTAACCGTCTCTTATGGTTTACCATGATTTTAGATAGAAATTACTGAAATCATGATTTAGCCCATGATTACGTCACTCGTCATGTACTTTTCCCTGTATTTTTTGCTCCGTGTAGACAGCTGAGTCCTCTAAAAAAAATTCCATTGGAATAAACGGCGAAAAAAATTTGAGGAACATGACACGAGGGTGGAAATAAACTCTCCACTTCTGTCCAAAACGTCACAGCAGTTGCAGTGTGTAATAGCTTATAATTACGTGACATATTCGGCTTTGCGATTGTCCCAGTGACTGGGTGTTGCCGGTGTCCATGGCACTGCCACATTTAACGTTGCAATACTCGATTTACGTTGCAATACCCAGGGACTTCTAGGGCTCTTCGGGCTCTTTGGACTTTTTGGTGGTGATTCAGCAAAGGTAACACTACGTCTTGCTGGTCGGGGTGGTGGTGGCGGTGGTGGTGGAATATTTTTTGGTGGCGGTGGTGGTGTTGGCAGTGATATCGATGGCGATGGATCCGGCGTTATTTCACTTGCCATGTACCATGGACTTACACCTGCGTGTGAGTATTGCTGTGCACCTGATCCCCCTCCGCATTCCCAATCGCGTTCGCCGGCGCGTAGTACTGAAATATGTAGTTTTTCATTCAGAGACAAATGTTGGCTGCTGGGGGGACGGGGGGGGATGAGGCTTTTCATTCTGATTCATCGGACATTGATTTGTGCTACAGAAATCGATAATTTCCTTGCCTTATGCTATGAAAAGTTCAATTCAATTTAACGCTAGTGAAAAGTCATGAACTAGTTAGTGTTGACGTCATATCCGTCTTCGACCTCATGTCATTTTTCCCCAAATAAAAGTCTAGGCTTAATGAGTAGTTCTAGATGATATTATGACGTGCAATTGTGAGTCATTAGGCTCGGTGAAGAAGATTGCAACAAATCGAATTAAAGTGGAAGAATTTTTTCAATTATGGAGTAGATTATATTTTTATCGGTGTAATATTCGTGTCGTACGGTGTCATTCACTCATGCAAATGTGTGAGTGTGAATATTTCGAGTAGAGGATACTTGGTGCAGTCTCGTACAGGATTATGATACTCTGCATACGTTAAGAAGGGTAAAGCCGGGATTTGTCCAAGAGGATTGGCACAGAAGCACAGAAAATACTAGAAATGATCAAATAGCGATTTTGTAATTATTCATCGCGAAATTTAATTGGTTAATTTAATTGAGAGGTAGAATGAATTGACGAATAGCGATAAAAAGTAAATAAAATTCAAACGGGAAGTTAAATTAAGGGTGAGAGTACTCACATATGGTCCCGGAAAAGGCGCATGCATCCTCCGTCTAACTCTGCAGTCCGTACCACTAGAGGAAAAATGGAAAAAAAAACTAAAAGTAGAAAACGGAAACTCACACCTGCTAAAAATCGCCATTGAGTTTATATCCTCTATCCTCTGAATTTATTAGGCCAAGATTACGTCAAAATATACATTAATATCAACTAAAGGAGAACTAAAAAACTTAATCCAGCGCCCAGCTCAGCCCTTGAAAATATCAATGTTTAAAATATTGAAAAATAAAAATGGGTTATTATTACATTGAGTTTCCTTAGTATTGTGTATGTGTCATGTGGTGTACTCGGTCAGCGATCAAACTATTAAAACAAATATAATTGGTTTATCAACGCTGCTAATTGCATGCCAAGCGTGGTCTAATGACACGTACTCTTTGGGTCATACTAATTTTGTTTAAATCCTGTGTTTAATCATCTATCACTATATTCAAAATCTCTAAAGCTATTTTCAGTCGTTGAATTATTATTACAAAAATTAACAATTCCCCTGGAATCTATTTCACATTTTTTCTCCATCAATGTAACACTCGACAGTTTACTTATCATCGATAAAATATTACCGCGATGATTGGATCAAATATCAAACCAGTGATATTTAGTAGATCAGGGTGAATTCAGACCTTGCCTCACGGTTTAACGACAGACGATTAAATGGCTCGTATTGAACGAGGCCAATTTGACGATAGGTAAGCGAGAGAGAGAGAAATGGATAGAGGACTGGGGTTGGCTGGAGGCAATTAAATTTTCGTGCCCGTTGTAGTTAGGAAAATGAACAAACTGGGCATTTATGCTCACGCCAATTGCACATAGGGCTGATAATGTATTTGGCTGTTTGCATTCGAATTTTGATAGTTTGATTTTAATGTCAGCCGCATAAATCGAATTATGATTAAAGCCGTGGCTGAATTATTCGACCATTCGAATACATAAATGGGAATTTAATCTCTCATTTTATTCCACTGCCAGTTGACACAGATATCGAGGGCTTTTAACAACGATTACTCGATGATTCGGATTAATAAAGGAATTCAGAACCTACCCGGCCATTGTCGTAGTCTCGAGCTCCAGATATTGTCAATCGAGCTTTCGCCTTCATGGCATCGGCTAATGGGATCTGAAAAAATCAATCAGTGTAAAATGAATAAAAAATATAATGATGGTTCTTTGACGAGTCTCACAGCCATTACCTTTGCTCTCGATGCTTCAGTGTGGGATTTGTAACAGAATTCAAGTAGAGCCACTGCCAGTGCCAGAAGTAATCCAGTTATGAGTATGTAAAATATTCCAGCAACATTGCTCAGTGACAATTCGTTTCGCGAATCCTGCTTGTCACCGTGTCCACATTCTGTCCTGTCATACCACCATCTGTTGACTAGTTTCGTCAGTTCCCCACTCTCTTTCAAGCTCAACACTGACAGATTTATCTTTTCCCTGTTGAATCAAATCAGAGAATACCGTTAGCCCCTGAGCTTTTCCATTAATTTTAATTCTCTGTAGCCGTTGAAATTGAGGAAAGCACCAAAAATGGAAAGAATTAAATTTTTAATTTCGCGTGTGTGTACGCAACATTGACATTCGATGAAATTGATGGATTCAATTTTTTCGCATTAGTCCGTGAATTCGATGAGCCAAGGACTTGAACTCTGCAATGTCGTTACTTAAAAGAAATCTATGCTTGTCGGCAATATCTTCTGAAAGAAACTCACTTCAAAGGAGATCCCACAGGAGTTGCAATACCAAATCCCTTGGAATCCAAATTTCTACCGACTTTCATGGTATCACAGGGTACCCTCTCATTGATGTAATCATTCTTCGGGCTTTCAATCAGAAATGCGTATTTCCCTTTACTCTGTCTCACCCTTTTGATCCCCTCGTCATATGTATTGACAAAAACGTGCTTTCTCGAATTCATAAATTCCCACATTTTACTGTACAGACTGATCTGTGATTTCTGTAAAAAAAAATATATATCGTTCAAGTATATACACGGCAACACAGTGGAAATCTCGAGAAAGTCAATTCCCACTCTAGTATATTTTCCGTTCACATCTACTTTATCATTCACATGGAATTTTTAATTTCCACTGGGAGATTTCGAGGCGAAAGATCGAATGGATATACATTGAGCTCACCCGGAAGAAATCCCATGTGGATCCATGATGGAGTGTTCCATACTGGACTTCCGTTTGTGATGCTAGATCCTCGGCTGAATTTATCGGAGTTACCATCCTCTCCACTGTCAAAAATGCCGCGAGATTTGCAGTGTACGAAGATATTATTATTAATGTGAAGAACCACCACACACACCCGACTATTCTCCCCGACATGGACCTAAAACAACCCAAAAAAACATTGCCCCAGTTTATTTTTATCTGCAACCTCGGTCAGCCAAATAGACCACGGGAAAGATTTAATAATAAGTGAATGAAAAAAAAAACCGTCGTTCAAACGCCGGGGCGTTATCTGGAAGGGGCAAAAGGTAGATGGTATTTAATAATGTGAATTTGCATCGAATTTCATCGTTGAAAAGTGAGAAATGGGGTGAGGTTGCTGGTGAATTTACAATTCATATCGCCAACTGAGAATATTTAAACCATTAATCAAAAGACTAGCTCGTCGAGCAACCCACGTCGCCTAAATGTAAATTAATTGAGCCGCAGGTACCACCAGTCTCCCAGTTTCGCGTAATGATTACCCCTCCGTCTTCTCACGGTATCTTCATTGCCAGAATAGAATAAATATAAAATCGGCAATTCGTATTAGTGATTTCTATTCATGGGCCGACAATTCCGAAATTAACAGGCAGGTGCATTATTTCTATCAACTGTGATTTTTTTTTTCAACTCGTTTTTTCTTCCATTAGCTCGCATTAAAAATAATTGCAGTAAATATTCACGCGAAATATCCAACATTTTTCCATTTAGATCAGATTTCTCTGCCCTTCTACTGCTTTCATCTAGCACTTCGAAATGCGATCTCGGGATTGCACTCGAGTTGGATCTTAAGCTCACTCTTTCGATCTTTTTCTCAGTTGCGGAAGGAAATAAAGAAGAGATTCTGAGGGGAAATGAATACGGCGTGATGTGGGCCATAAGAACACGGCTTATTGCATCAATACGGGTAAACTCATATAATCACGCGCATACTCATAAAGTATCAGATGAGAGTACCGTTTAATTGGCACTCTCGCGCTGGTCTACATTCGTAAAAAAAAGCTCAATGAAAAAAAAAAAAGATTTTGATATTTGTCGTTAATGGAGCCCATTTACGAAGAACATTCACTCGACGAGCTAATTTATCCTTCTGTAAGAGATCACTCAGACGGTAATGCGCTTTTCTTGTTACGCATAAAGAGAAAGTTGAATTGCCTCGTTGACGAGAGTTCTACCAATGAACTCCAAGTAATTTTTTTACAGTCTTAGAGGCTGAACTCATTCTACCTTGAAAGAGATTTTGCCCAGTGAATCTTTCAATAATTATAATAAAACCATCAAAAAGGTCTACAATTATTTTTGACGGATGGAATAAAACGTCGGACGGGTTCTAATTATTCTTAACGAACCAGTTCTCTTTTTGTCTAACTATAATATCTGCACAAAAATATTTTTAAAAAATGTTTATATATTGTAATTATTCACAAAATTGCAACATGGCGAATACATTGTTATTAATTTTTTTTATCGAATACAATGATGATCATATGTATCATAATTATAGACGGACGAAACTCGCCTCAAATCCAAAAAAACCGCGGTTTCTTTGAATTTTCATTTTATTCCCCGGGAGTGGCTATGGCGATGTTAATGAACATCTAGACCGTAACGAAGGTGAGTCATTTACCTCGGCGAAATATCACAGCCCTGTTGCATAAAAGCACCTAATGAGAACCACATACTGTTGAGCATGCTGAAATCATTGGCCATGCAGGGTGCTGGGGCATGGAGTGAAGCTTGCTGGCTATGAGGATGTTGCAGGCTCGGGTCACCTCTTCCAACCATTGATGGATCACTACCTCCATTTAGTTGGATCACTCGCCACTCGTACGGTGAAAATCTGTAATTAAATACCTCGTGAATATACAGACTTCATTACCGCATTACACGAATGATATTAATCTCGGAATATTACAGTACCTTGATACAATGAAGAGAACAATGGATACACCGATGTACGAGAATATAACGCACACCCAAATTTCTTTACTCAGAGGATTGAGAAAGCTGAAGACCCCTGGTTTTTGCTTTATCGGCTTTTTTATCATGATACTGATGCCGAGGGACATGAACGGCTTTGTGAAATCAATTACTCGTTCTCTCTCTGAAGTGATGGTCATTGAAGCTATTGCCAGATCGGACTCCTGAGTGAGTAAAGACAGAGTATCGATTCATAAATAATATAATAATTATTATTCGATATATTGCGATATAAATAATAATTATTCAACGATATATTGCGATGATTTCAATGCCCGGAACAGTTTTAAACCGAAAGCCAATTAAGAAAATGTAAATTAACGGAATATATTCCAAGAATATCGTGATGAGAGAAGTTGAGCGTGCATTACTTGCACGCACGTAATCTGCGATGCGCACATGCGTAAAAACTATTGAGTTATAATCTGGCGATGTTGAGTTAGTTGTAGTCTGTAGCTAAAGTGAACTGATTAAATTACCAGTACCACCTAATGATTATGCGCAACGCCGTATGCAATTGATCATGTACAACCGGTGTTAAATGATTTCACAACATGCGCATAGATGAAACGAAGGGGTAAATACGTGACTAGCTTTTCCATCCCTCACATGTAGCTTCATAAATACCCCTTCCAAAATTCTAAATAACCTTATGCGCTCCAAAGAGGAGTTGAGCTTCAACTCTATTCAAAACCATGTGCAATGATAATACCATTATTTCTGTGAAGTAGAGGAAGGGGTTTGCGATACACATGGAGCCCAGAAAGCCCTCAATGAAATTACTTGGAAATAACGTCGATGCGATGCTGGGGAATATTAATAAAGCCGAGCTCTGGAATTTAATCAAACTTCGGTCAGATATAATCTGGCTTATCTCCGGCACGAGATATATCGAGCCATGTTCCATGTTCAATTATCGATGGAATACTCAGTGCAATTGTTTATTCAGTGTTCACCAGGGCTATTGGTTGAATTTCAAAAATAAAGTGGAGTGAGTTAAGGTAGAGCCAGTGAGGTTGTACGATTTACTGGTAGATGGTGGGAGCGCCTGCTTTACTATAGTCCTGGACCTCTGCTGGGGGAATCCCACATCTTCCAACACATTCGCGGGTAAAACAGGGTGGTCTTTGCCCTTGTTTTGGGCGGGCTTCGGAGGTGGGCTTACAAGGGTGGTAACGCGGGGAGAAGAACGATCAATAATACCTTCCTTGGCCAAGTAACAACCCATCAAGAATCGTAGGGGATTCACTCAAAGCCACAGGCTCTGGACTCCTTCACCTACCCTCTACCCATTCGATGATGTTACCTGATGTTTGATTACATGGTATGGAATTATCTTCAATGAATTATTTCATTCACCTTTCTGATTAGCTCGCCAACCATTCCATCCCATCCACCCTGTACATCCGGATTCTCTGAGCCGTACTTGCCATCCTCCACAGGCTTAAGTTCGTCTGAGAATTCATAAAAACAATTTTATAGGCTTTTTTATTCTCCGAGTAAGATAGACTGTATATGATAAAAATAGAAATTCACATTTTATTCCAAGTTGTTGGGCTATCAGGTCCGCAAGGTCTTTGCAGTATCCCTCAAATCTGTCATTTCCAACTAGTATCTTTCCTACCTCGGGTTTTTTCAACATCATGAATGGCTCCTCCTGTTATGAGAACCCATGAAAACGATAATATGTCAGGAATCTTGATATGACAAGCTTTGTAAGTAGTCAAGGCCTCATAAATTCTTCAAAAATTCTTCAGGATATATGTGAATATGAGTAATGCGAATAAATTCATTCATTCCCCATGCAAAAAAAAAATGAAAAGTAGAGGGGAACAGGGAGAGAGAGAGAGAGAGAAGAAAGAGACGAAATTGAGAGTATGCAAGATAAGTGAAGTGGAAAATCCTGGGGGTTGGGGATGGATAGGAGAGTGGAGGGGTGATGGTTTAACTTTTAGAGAGGCGGGGACTCGATCATAAATATTTATGGCCTCGTTTTGTGGATGGTGGTTCTGGCCATTCGCCTCGTTTGACTCACCAGCATCGTCGTCACGATGTACGTTTTATTTTTTTCAATTTCCTGAGTAGGCAGTCGTACGTATTTAGCTGTAATGGGTTGGAAGCCAGCCTCGTCCGTCCACTCAGCAACCTATTATCATTTTACATCATACAATTATATTCATCGTCAGTACAATAATTCGTATGCACTGACAAAAAGGGGGTCGACTATAAACGCGTACGGTCTTAATTGAAGGTTTCGATTATTTACAAAAATTTGCAATTAGAAAAAGAAAGTATAATTGAGATCACGCAAGTGCCGATATCTCTAAAACTATAAGTACACGCAACGGACCTTTCAATATGAACATAATCACGAACGACGATAAATCGCGTGAATACTTGATCGGTGTTTTTGTTTTCGCTCTGAGCGAATCACTCACCTTGACCATGGCACTGTTCACTGTCATCTCAACAACATGGAGTGTATAATTATGTCTACGACTGTCATTGTTGAAACGTATGGGCCCAGTAAGACCCTCGAAATCCGCCTGTAAGATAAATAACCGAGTGAAAAAATATTCCTTGTGTCGATTTGCCTGATATCGACAGGTCCAAACGTCCTGAAAAAACATGAAGAAGGGCTTGACTGTTCGCTAGGTTACAGTATCCAGATATATTTGCTCTTTTGGGGAAAAATTTTTCATTGGTAAGGGGGGCAGTCGGGTGGAATTCCATTGGTGGCCAGGAGAAATGCCAATTACTGTCAACCGCAGATACAGAGGCAGTTGGGTTCTCGATCCGACGCGTTTTCTCTACCGAAACAAAAAGAATTACTGTTTTCTACAGAGTACAAAAGAATCAGAAATAGTGGGAGCAGTTGGGGTGAGTTGGAGGGTCTTATTACTCGTCGTCTGCAACCTTCGGACCAGTAAACCAAAGGTCTTTCCACAAGGATTGTTTTTTTCCCCACCGCTTTTTTCTCATTTTTTGCCCATCAAACCAAGGGAATTGAATGAAAATAATAGTGATTGGAGGAAAGGAGAGGTATTTTATTGAAATTAACGAGTCGGGAGAATTCGCAGATAGACCACACTTCGGTACGATCGAGTGGTAGGCCATATAGGGTCGCTAGTGGTCACGCTCGATATTGGTCAGACGGCGGTTATACGCGGAAATTGGGATGGGGTATATGGCTAGTAGAAACGACACGCGCTTCGGTAAGACACGGCCAATGGTCGCATCTGGCGCCAGTGATAATGTCTCGAGTATCCCTGTTACAGAGTTGGTTATTTCCGGCGTCGAATAACTATATCCGGATAAATTGTATCAACTAGAGTACTTAAAGCATCACACTCCATCCTTATTTTTACTTTCACCTGCTTCGATTGAGGAGACCCTTTGATCAATGCCCCCAAATCCGTATGAAAAAATGTTTATTTTGAAAAATATACCAAATATGTTTTGCATTTTCATAAAAATGTTGAAAAAAAACTCATAAAAGCAATATATTGTGATTGGACAAAGAATGACAGGATTTCCAATCTAACAAATACGGTAATGAATTTGGTTTGAATTTATATGGATGAATAGACTTTATTGAAGTTGTATATTCATGAAGGAATTCATGAAATTCTATTGCACCTATGTCTATATACGTATAGACAGACAGACAGAATTTAAAATCGGCCGATCTCAGCTTTTTATAGCAGTTACCCTGACCATAAAAAATTTTCATTTATTTAATTTGATCACATTACAGATATTTCCAGTCGTTAATCATTTTATTTATTATTATTATTTTTTATTTTCAATCTCAAAAATCAAGTGTTTTTTTTTAAATATTCAATAAAATTCAACTTTCCTGGTCTACACCAGAAACAATTTCAAGCTATGGAAAATCCAATTGAATTGAGTGTTCAAGTTTCATAATGAGTTATAAAATTTGAACGGTTCCTCAAATATCAATGATCCTCCACTCTGAAAATCGTGAATTTCATTGCCATGCAATTTTAATTAAATTCATAGCACACTCATTGCAATCGTTACGGAAAATTCCATAATTCTAGTAATTGGCGAATAAGTTTTTCACAAGTTGTTTTACCTTCCTCAGAAATTTAGAAATCTTGTCGCCATATTCCCAGGGTGTAACTAAATCATCCCTCGGGTTACAATCGAGTGGACTACTGACATTGGATGGCTGCACACCACTCGGTACACCCGGTCTCTTGGGATTACTCCGATCTGTCTTCTTCTTCAGGAACTTATTGAAGGCCTCCACCAGCATGAGAACTGCATCATACATCAGTGCCGCCTGCGCCTGTGTTTTCATCAACAAGTTTATTTCCATGTGTATCGAGGGACGAGTCAATTTGAAATGTCAGAGTGATGGCAAAACGAGGTGAAAAGAAATTGTTATCGAGTATGAATGATTCAATATACATACGGAAATTGAGTCACGTCCAGCTCCAGGAAAGTTCACTGTATCGAGTCGGCGCCAGTTCTCGAGGAAGTCTTTGACAGGACGTCGACTTATGTCGATGAGACGAAAACCAGTGATGTTGATGGCACCGTACTCAATCACTTCGCTCTCCCAACGCTCGTCCATTATCTGATTATATGGAGAAAGTCAAGTACAAGGTGATGCACTTACGCGGCTATCTCTCGACAAAGCACTTTCCAACTAAAATTGTTGGTGATTTTTCGGAGAAATTGCGGACACTCGGTAAATATCCAAGAGCATCTCAATCAAGACTTTTCAAGCAATTCGCGCTTATATCAATTTTCATTTGACGATAGAGTAAGAACTCGTGTGCACTGAGAGAAAAAAATTCATCCACCGGTCGAAGAGAACACGCCGAAAATCCTACATACCACGCATGAATGAAAAAAAAAACTTGTTTCTTTTCAGGGTAGTTCGACGTGAATTTCATAAAAAAATTGGCGAGTTCTTCTGTCCTAGGGGGAAAAATGACGCGATCTTTTACGTTCGTCTCGGAGAAAAAATGACATTTTACGAGAACCCTCAATGCGTAATAGTTAAGCCTCCCTCGGAAATAGAATTACCCTCTGGGGATTGGCCGAAAACCCTTTCCCTGTCATACCTAAGAGTCAAAGGGTGCGTCGGGCAATCCAATCTCAATAATCGCATTAATACCGTTCGTCGCGTACAGAGGAGTGGCAGTAAATCAGCACAGAGGAGATGAAAAACCCTGACTCGCCCATTCCAATCATCAATCAGCCATATTATTCACAGACCAGAATGAAAAACGAAAACACCCAGTCATATTTGACCGAATAAATCCCCTCAGGCCCACCATAAATGTGTCTCATGAATTATTTCGCTGTTCGCGAGAGGAAAACCCTCAAGCAAATATTTTTCTTCCTACCCTATCAGCCTCAGCACCACCAATTAGACCAGAGACGAGGTAAAATTTCTTGAAATTGAGAAAGCTGACTCGGTTCATATTTCTCCGGATATTTACATACGCAACGATACACCCACGTTTACAATTTAATTCCCCACGAGCGTTTAAACTTTTAAACGAACATCCCCGCTCCCCTAAATGAAAAAAATAAACGAAAAAAAAAGGCTGTGTCAACCCATGAAATACGAGACCACTGCGTGAATTCTGGGGGATGAAATGGGACGGAGTGGAAAAAATTAACCCTCTCATCGGAGATAAAAACGCCCGTGACGTGAATTCATTAATGAAGAAGAACGGGTTTGTTAAAAATGCGTTACGTGACCGACACCATTGAACCGGTTGATATGAACGTGCAGAATCGAAATAAAATTCCCGAAGAATGAAGCCGGAAGAGGAAGCAAAGACGAAGAATTTAATATATCTTCATTAGCTCACCAGTCCACTGAGTAGATAATGATAAGTTCTCTTCCCAAGTGCAATATCTCTCACATGACTGACCACGATGTCCTTTGCCATGTCAGTGGGACAGTCTAGCACGACGTATTTGGAGCTCCACCTTTGAACAATGAGAAGTGAGAATAATTAAAATGAGCACAACGCCAAAGTCTAGGAGAGAAAAGGATAACGAATAATTCTCGGACGGGATAAAAATGGCACGTCAAAGCGAATGGAGCAGCACAACCCCACGTTGAACCTCTTTTGTACGCGTTTCAAGTCACTCTTAATTATCTTGCAGACGAGTTGGTCATTCTGGATTAACGATCGTAGAGCATGCATGCATGGTCAACAAATGGATAGCCAGAGACGGACAGTTGAACAATTCGCTGTAATTTCACTTGGCCAGGTAATCACCGAACAGTATTATACCGCGGTAGTTACACCGGTCACTGATTCAAATACTTAAACTGTATCTGGTAAATTACCGCATTCATTGGTGCAGAAGCATCAGTGAATAGAGGAGATGGGTTTTAGTGGATTCAACATTAGTGCTAATGCGTTTCCAAGTAGAAATTTTCGGGTGGGAGGCTCTGGGCCAGTGATGGTGGAGTTAAATGAGGGCAAAGGTACTGAAACAAAGGGGAGTAAAGGGTGGAAAGGGTGTAAAGGACCACGGAGAATTTCAACTGGCCTGTGGAATAGAGAACGCAGATGCAAGGCACTACGGTAGCGCATTTCACCTCCTTTAACCCTCTCCTACATTTTCTGTAAAAGCGTCAGACTCGTATCTCAACGGCGTCGTTTGCTGCTGTTGCGCTTACTATCCTCTCTTGCTCCAAATTGGGATATGTCTCACTTTTCCTCGCCTCTCGCTCCTTCTTCTCCTCCTTCTCGAGTCTGGCTCAATTGGCCCCCGCAAAGTTACAACTCTGCACCAACCGAGTATAACGAACTGTTTATGGCTTTAGTGGACGGCCCGCTGAGTTCGACGTATCAAATTTCGGGCTTGTTGTAACGACAAAAGTTATACCCCCAGGGTACCTTTGCTATACACCACTGTACCATGGAAAATTTATGGTGCACAAAAAAAAAATAGCCATTGATTAGTGCAAAGGGTACTTGTACTCAGGACTAACGCATTTCTCGGACCAGAAATATTTTTCTTTTTTCCTAGATCATTGTCATGTTTCACTTGTCATTAGTTCGGCTGTTTCAGCATTACAATGTATCATGGATACAATTAAATGTTTGTTGCATGATATTAGGATTGTCTGAACCACCACATCGAGTTTCGTCGGCTTGGACGTGGGACTCGGTGAAAGCTTCCAGTGTTTCATGGCAGATATTATGTGCACATAGAAATGGTGTACATCTCATCGCAATACTCTATCAGAGGGAGTGGTATCCAACAGTGGGTCACTGTCTACAACGTTACGATGCCAGGTAAGCAGTAAACTTGGAGGATAGGGTGCATCCATTGAAATATTAGTTCTCCATTCTACCTCATTGTTTCGGATTTAATGGACACACGTGTTGAATTCACTTCCACTCGTACGAGATAATTGTCTTCATTGTGGATTCAACTCGCAGCAATGAGGTCGGAGTTGGGAGGTTCAATTGGATAGATCTGATGTGGTACATTCGATCGTTGCCGTTTCATAATTCTGGTTGTTATCAATGTTTCAACATCTCAATTGGAGTTTCACATTAGTTGTGTCACATCATTGACTCGATACCCGGGATCATGATTCATTCGGTGAATGGGAGTTTGACATTAGTTTAGTTCATTGTAAAGTTATATAGAAACTCAGACGGCGCACTGCGAACTCGTGAATTCCTGGTGTGTGCGAGTTTGACACGATTAGGCAAGTGACTTAGTCTCCATTTCCTGACTACATATAGGAAACTTGCAGCCAACCCAGGGAGTCAGATGGGTCTTTTGACTTCAAGAAATTGCTGAAGGGAATCATGACCGATGCTGTGGCGATTTTGCACGGTAGTTTCCTACGCTCTCGCATTTGTACATGTCACTGAATTTTCCGGCAATTCCCGGGATAATAGCTCAACCGGTTTAATTTCTAATTATTCAGTTTAGCACCGCAATTGCTGACGTGTTGACAAAATTATGTTTTTCGGCGATGAAAAATAGTTCGTTACAGGGGAGTTTTATTTGATCTACAAATATCAAAGAATAACCCGACATTTATTTATTTTTCTCTACCCCGAGGGCCACGTGTACCTGTCCTGCAGTGTCACAGCAAATATTGCTGATGCGATGGGGAACATTCGACACGTATATGCATATCAAAGTCATGCCATTTCCACACGAAGTGTACGCTCCAGTATGCACAGTGGAAAAATGAGTCCTTTGTGTGGCCGCTAATTTAATGGTATATATTATTCGAGGACTGTCAGACAGTGATGATAAAGGTACTGGGCACGCTGTGGAAATGGCAGAGATGATGCTGTTGGCGGGAAAAAAAAAAGTTGGTGCAGAGGGGGAGGAGAAAGATGGCATTTTGAATAATGCAAACCCTCCGCGGCCAGAAATGAGCAGCGAGCTACGTAAAACATCGCTCTTTTTCCGTTTCTTTTTTAGTTCCATTTATTTTACCTCTTCGGCTTTTATTACACGGAGTTCTACGTCTTTATCATGCATTTATAGGTTTCTTTTGATCAAACAATGTAATTACCGTTGAGTGTTTTTTAAATACGTATAAACTTTGTGGATAGTTGAGTTCTCGAGATGTTTGCGCAATTACGAATTCACCGGGAATGATAATTGTCTTATAAATCCATTTGACTTTTTTAAAGTACACTTTTCATAGTCAATTTAAATATTGTAAAATATCTCACCGATTGAGCTCCTCCAACGTCCTTAAAAAATCTAATGCTTCTGAAGTATTCTGTATCCTCTTCACTGTATCCACTTGAAAGGATTCATTTCCAGGTCGCAATCCTTGATAAATCTGCTGAAGTCTCAATAAACCTGAAAATAAAACGAAAGCACCGTGAAAAATAAAAATCAGCATCGATGACGCCAGTTGAAATGACACTCAATCCAACTAAACGCTGACAGGACGTCAGTAATTATGGAAATAATGCCTGCGTCAATTTCATCAACGAGTCACATGCAGATAGCAATGATCAACAATACTTCCTGGTGAATGGCCACCCCTAGAAACCCGCCATTCTATTAATATCACGCCCATGGAGCATGTGAGTCAGACCAGTTCTACTGTAAAATTCGTTGGTGTAGACAGTAATACGAGAATAATTGGTAATTGAATCAAGCCTAACGTTAATAATGATGAATGGAGGCATTGGCAAACTGTGGACGATAATTAGAGCTTTATCGAAATCATTACGGATGTTTTTCTGGTATTTTTGATCCAATCAGGTGACGTATTAATGAGCCCGTTATCTCGACGATAACGGAGGTGTTCAATGGAGCAACTGTATTTTCTAAGCTACGCATCGTCATTAAATCCACTGTATGAGGCTTTCTTATGCTCGACAGCACGAAGATTGTGAGGGGAAAGAGGATCCCAGTGGCCCCTCGTGTTGCCAAGCTGGAGTAAAGTTTTAATTAATTGCGCTTCGGGACTTCTTCCCTTCGTTCGTCATCCGCTCCATGGGCAATGTTGGACGAGGGGAAAAGGGTTCATCCATGAGGATGGGGGAGGAGGTGAGTGAAAGAGGTACAGAGGACTAGGTCTAACCCGTACTCACACTGTTATACTCTTCTATATCTTTTCATGTGCAGTGGGTGAAGAGGTTTTGTGTGGAATCTTGTTAGAGTGGCATTAACTTTTCTCGGGTATTACTGAAATTTTCCAGTGGATAATGTGACAGTACTTGTACTTCACTGGTGTCAAACGACTGTTTCAGGGCATTACGAGAGGGTGGAAAATTCAAGTTTAATTTTCTAACGACGGTTGACTGCAATTGAAATGGAGAAAGTTGAAGTGATAAAGTTTGCAAGATCATTTAAGTATCGAGTTCATTGACTATGTCGTTTTACTTGAGGCTTTATCGTAATCGAGAAGAGGAAAAAAAAAATTGAATTCCAAATAAACGGCTGCGCTTATGGCATAACAAATATTTCACTTCATTTCATAATTTCATTTTTTTCTCAAAGAGCCAGCAGATTATTTATATGAAATCATTTCACCTGAATATTGATTACTTCGAATTCCTAGAATAAAATAGAATTGAAAGCTTGACGATTCTTTGAGTTATATCCACTGTATTCTGTTCTGCAATTCCATCCCAAATTCTGTGTCAATACAAATGGAGCTGAAACCCTACATATATTCTCGCATATATTTATAAGAAGATGTAAAGGCGACTGCGCCCATGGGACCCACCAGTGCGTGTATGTCTTTGTAAAGTTATGCGCATGATTGCACATGATGTACCCGCTGGCTCGTAATTTATCGGCAGAGAACTCTCTCCCTCTTGCACTCGCCATCTATTTCCCTGGATTCTATTCCCCGCATACATGATAACTCGAAATATTCATATTCACTATCAAAATAATAAGAAATGAATTTGGAATACGATTATCTTTAATGTCACATCAACGCAATGGAGAAAAATGAGGGATAGATTTTTTCTTAAGGAGGTAATTGAAATATGATGGTACATGTTCGAGGGGTTGTGGAATGGTAGACTGACGGCGGCATGGACAATTCAAGTCCTGGGAAGTTGTTGGCAACCGGTGTTTATGGGTTAACCTCATTTTTTTTAACCCACCTATATCAGCCACGGATATATACTGATGACTGGGTTAACGAGCCCGAAGTTACAACGCACGCGGCTCGTTCGCGTGGAACAAAGGCCGACAAAGTGTATACTTCGGTTTTTTTTTTCACCCCCTCCTACCCCCTTGTTAACTCGTTTTGTACATTTTTTCCCCCCTCCCAAACCTCAGCCAAAGCGTGCACACGCTCCGTATGACCGCCGCCGGCTTTTCGACGGTACACACCCCACGACGTAAAAGTCCATTCCTCCAGTTTTTTTTATTTTTTTTTTTATTTATTTCTGTTCAAAAATCCCTTGGGAAATTCATCAGTGCTTCAGCGCACGAAAACTTTTTCCAATATATTTCGGGAGTAAAAGTCCAGCGGGCGGAAAAGTTTCGAGCAAATGTTTCCGAAATTGTTGAAAAAACTGAAGAGGTGTGGTAAATAAAATGGCTAAATTGCATGACTTCTCTGAGAGTTTGAAAATATTCGGATTTTTAACGTCTTTGTGCTGCCGAGGGATGTATAAACAGTTGGGATTATTTATTGAATGGTGAATGGTACTTTGGCATGGGAATGACAGAGTCGGCGTAATGCGTGATACCTATTTACCATTGGTATTGAAGATCAAAGTGGAAAATTTGTATGATAAAGGTTTCCTCTTTGCATTTGCTTATCGAAGTCGTGTATTGAGAGCGCCGTTTCTCATTCGAATTTCTCCTTTGTGTCAATCCTCCGGTGAGGGCCGGCGAGGGCCGGGGGAAAATTTTCATCGTTGTATGTGTCAGGAAGGAAGCCCTCTCTGATGGCGTTGGCCAATGCCAGAAAAATATTCCGGCTTCCGGTGGTGGAAGTTGGACGGAGGCATTATACATCGACCACCTTTCTCCCTCTCGAGATTGCTGGTGTCGTGGCTTATCGTCATATTTTTCCCCACATTAAATTTATGGTTTCAACTTCATGTTCATTTTCTTTCAATTCCAGGGTGGAGCCATTAAATTTATTTATTACCCGCATTTGTCTTCTACGCTTTCAATTGAGAATCTTTACATCTGTTTTCTCCCAGCCAAGAAAAATCATAAAAATGTTGAATCAGTTTGTCCAGCTTTTATGAAATTTCAAGTAAAGTACAGAGAACTAAATGTCCACAGTTTGCAAGATCGACCTGGTTTTTATCCCTACCACAGCCTCATCGTCCCTGAACCTTGGACATTTCCGAGGACATTGATTGCTCGTTAAAGAAAATGTGAAAGCTGTGGGTGGATTCGAATAGATCAAGAACACTTGAAATTGGCTAGACCCGGAATTAGTCAAGTCGATCTTGTTCATCCGTATCTGGTTACACATTTCTCTCCCTGTATTCCCATTGAAGTAACATGACAGATGTGGTTTTAGGTCTGAGTGAAGGCAAAGATTTCCTCCAACGTTGAATATGTACCCAAAGACGAGTAGAAATTGAGCGGAGTGAGAGAGTAAATCCGTCTGATGTGGTGTACGTTGACAATCCTGTCTATTTCGCTTCATGAGACATAAGGCGGAAGGGATTCTCCCTCGTCCCTCACATAAACCTGACGTACGGAGTCTCTAATTCGAGAGGAAATTTCCAACTGTTATTTCATGGTATTATGTGCAATGCTTTCAATTAGAATGACGATTGAATTTCTATGAAACAATAAAAAAAATAAATAACAGAATGGTGTTAACAGAAATAATGAACGTTGAATGAGCAGCGGATAATCCGAACTGAAGATGCATTTCCAACAGCACGTCACCGACAGTCACTCTAAATAATCAATCTCTGTCCGTCGTCATGTCTGCACGTGATAAAGGTGTTCATGAGCGAGAGAATTCCTGAATGGTAGCAGGTGTTGCTGGCCATACTGCACCTGTACCCGATAAAACCGAGGACGACGTCGGTCATCCTCATCCTAAACAACTATTTCTCCCTCACACCCCTAAATGGCTTAATCCGATGATATTGGACAGCCCGTGTGATAGCTTTTGTTCTCAAAGGCCATTTTAATCAAAATATGGTAATAAAATAACAGCGATAGCCATTATCGCGGGTGCAATCCATCACTCGTCCCGGTAAGTAGACATGTAATGCATTGCGTCAATGCGATTCAAAATATTTGATGAGATTCCAGCGATTCGCAATATCCATTATAACATTCTGATTACCCGTCAGAATTTTCAAGGGTTGTTTAAAATTATGATTGGAATTCTCAGCAATTTCTGCCACTATTATTCTCACATAAAAATCACGCACACACACATGTACGCGACCTGATTCTGAAATGAGTGCATTCTTCAAGTTGATGAAACAACTCGGTGCGTAACCGTTGGCAAACGTGGTTTTATGGAGTATGCAGCGTGAAACAAATGTCAAATTTGAACCATGAAGTCTGGCAAAGCCAACAATGAGAGCGATTGCCGCCAATTACCTGGAGGGGATGGGCTTTTCAACGTGAATTTTCCAATGGGGCCACAATATGCATCATGACCAACTCAACTCGGTTAACTGTTACGCTACGAAATTTCTATTCTGGCAATGTCGAACCTGAGCATTTGCATGAATTAGCGGGACAGAAACGAATGGAAACGAGTGGATTCATGCTTTCACTGTGATACTGATGCAAAGGGGATGTTCCCTTTGACCCCTCAACTCCCTCCGTACTCCCCCATCAATGGATATATTTTGTAAAACCAATGTAATTGACGTGTGGGGCTGGTGCTATCGTTCTGATGAATGCTAATGAGTTCAACGAGTGCGCTAACTTTTACTCGCGGAGAATTCTAATACTGTCTGTTCATTGTTTTATGGCTTTGATGATCAGTGGACTCTGAAGTATGGCATTAAAGTTCATGGTTAGTGTTGGCATATTGAAGTCAGTTAAGTTCTATTATCTGTTCAAAGAGGAATTACTATTTCCTGGTGAGGGGTGGAGGCAATCAGGGGAGTGGAGATGCAGACAAAGACGGTGGTACAAAGGTGAATGGGTTGTTATACTGAATTATTACGAAGCACTCGGACAGAGGTGAAGTTTTAGCGGACAGGATTTTATCTTCAAGTAAGTTTCGTATGAGTGAGGCTGCTCTATCAAATAGTTTACACCAATTTCCGGAGATGGAAATTGTTTAACTTCAATCGGGCGTGCTGCTCACTCATCAACGCCCAGAATTTAATCTACCGTGTTTTGATCAAAGGATTAATTTAATCATTGAAGTAAGAAAGTTCTCCTTTGCCCTTAATGTATTGAAGTGTTGAGGATTTTTAGATGGGTATTTAAGCAGAAATATTAGAAATAATTCAGACGTGAAGCTTCTACCGGATCGAGTACAAATTGGGATATTGCAGAAACGATTGATTTAAAAATTTTTTCCGTCGTCTGAGAATTTCATTACCATCAGCGAACCGATTATATCTGCAATGAACTGTTGCTTTAACGTTTAACTCGTATGCCGGTTGGTTAAAATTAATTAACCCAAAATGAATCAACTTCATAAATTGTAGGGTTGGTATTCCTCAAAGAATTGGAAATCCCTCCAACTTTCAGTGAAACTTGAAATTTCAGGAGCTCTTCACTGTAATGAAATTCAATGCCACTCTCCTACAACTTACAACATAATTGTCCATGAAAATTCCATTTCTCCAACAGTTTAATAAGATGGATGAAGTATTTCTGATGCTGCTGTCGAGTATTCCTGAAGTGTAAATAGTAATATCTCCCTGTGGGAATATCAGAAGGCTTCTGCATTCGTGTAATGTCACCACATCCGACACTCTTGACTAGCAGCAACGAGTGCACTCGTAGCTTTTGCCCTTATATATATGGAATAAAAGCCCTTTACGCTTTCAAGTTGTATACGTTGTTATATTGGCATCCCTCTGGACGTGTCTCAAGTGCCAAGAACCGAGAGAAAAGCGACAGACATGGTCGAGTGTGTTGCTAGAAGGTATGTATCTTGTTTTCTCCAGGTATGGGGTATTCAAACATCACAAGAGGGCACCTGTCCGACCAACTTTATTGCAATTGACCATCTCCCACAACTCTCATTTCATGGAGATTGAAGCTACAACACCTCTTTCGCGAAATTATGCCAGACGAGCCTTACGTTTGATCAGGACTTGATACGACGGAGGTAAGAAACTGATCAGTTTTCGATTTACCCAACCTGATCCGAGAGAATTTCATTTTTTAAACAAGTGTGATAATAACCCCCTTTATCCTCATCACTATAGTAGATATTTTATACCGCTCTGTGAAATATAATGTTGGTACGAGAATTTCACTATTTTCTATAACGTCATTTATTTTCTTTTATGAAATATGAGTTAGTGGATTGATTTCACTTTAGGCGTTAATTCAGTTCGGGGTGTCATATGATATTTTACAAAGCGGATATTCCAACATTTTTGGAAGGATATCATTGTCACAGAAATTTTGACACGAACCCGAGTGGAGTATGGGAAATGACTTTTCGTTTTATTCTGGCAAAATTCACAGGGCATAGAAGACTGTCAAGTCTTTCGCAGCGTTGCTCTCCACAGAAATTTTATGATTCTATTTACGATAGCCTCAAACGAAGATGCATATTGACGAGTGGCAAAATTTCACCGGAACACATCTAGTTCTCGCATGGAGTTGCACGAATGATATCTATTTTCCAGTGATACGAGCTACATTTTATTGTCTCTCATGGTATTGAAGATGAAAGACGGGGATTTTATTTCGAAATGTATGTGAATTCGCGGATTTTAGGTATCTACTGTCATAAATGCAATACAATTCTGGTGGAAAGGAAATTTTTATCGTTGGAATTGAATAGGAAACCGTCGGGAAGGGATTCCCTGTATCTGAGGCACTACTGCACACGATGGAACTACTGTGTTATAGCAATTGACACAAGTCATCAGTCGATTCTGAAAGGGGATTTGCATCTCTAGGAATTTCAATTAATCAGGAGTACTTTGGGAAGCTCAATAGTGACGAATGGCACGTGTGCATCGTGAAGCTTTGTCCCTCAACTCGTCTCATCTGGCCATTCTCGTGGACACCTGAGTGGAGAGCGTTTAAAGGGCATCACGTTTTCGCTTTACCAATCGAACCGTTCCTGATTGAATGAAACGGCTGAAGTGCCAGTGCCACTGATAGCGCGCTTCCAGACCCCCCCGGATGATGTAAATGAAATTGAGTTTTTAGAGAGAGAAATTAATTGGTTTCGTTGATAATTCTCCAATAATACTGAAAAATTTATTTTCACCGAAGAGAAGCGTGGTCAAGTATGATTTTATATTGAACTTATTTCAAATTAATTTTATATTAGAGTTGTAATTGAAAATGGATGTGCTGCGTGTATTGTTGGAAAATTATACTTTAATTTTCAAAGAGTGCGACTTACTCTTTACAATTTCATATCAGTATTATTAATCAAATCCATTTTAGCACTCCAGCAGTGTACTTAGCGAAAAATTAAAAAATCACGTGTGATACATTTTTCTCTTAGTATATTTCTATTTTTTTGTGCGCGGTTCATGCGGATGTATTAAAATAATAAAAGTGTGATTGCGAATATTCACGCAAATATTCTTATGCATTCGTATTGTGCCAAAATTAGCATTAGAGTTCCGGTGGAAATCACTGGAAAATGTCCTAATTGATGGGAATGAGCCAGCTGTTACAGTGAATGGAGATTCACGTTGACACTCGCCGGATTATCTTAATGCTCCCTCGACAGCCCCATATACGGCAGTGGGGCATAGCGATGGGGTCTTACTGACGGATCCCCCGGTTGATAGCGGGTAGAAAGACGTCTTTCGACAGACGATTACCCTCCTCTCGGCCGAATCCATGTGAATAAGCCAGGGCTTAATCGATTTAGCGTCTCGTCTGTCAGCAAACTCACCGAGTTCATTCATACGTAATGATAACAACGATCATCATCCCGATATATCCCCCGGATATATACTGAGAGAAAAATGACTTTTCCCCAAAATATAGTTAATAGAAAAAAATGAATGAAAAAATAAAATTTTTCTTCTGTTATACCGATACCAATATCAGCGCAAGGCGTTTCAATAAAAGGACAGCAAAAATCGCCATTTAACAGTTGCTACAATATTATACAATTTATTGCAGGCAAACCGAAAGTCATAACGCAGCATAGTGAAATGAAAAAGGCGGCTTTCCAAAACCGATGGTTGGTGCGTGCAAACGACAGCGGCCATACTAGCCATTTTCATAAATTTAAACTCTTCCCCCTGTTGTCCCGTCGGCTGTTCCACCAACTGGTAGCACATCCACTGGCGACATTTCAGTTACAATTTTTACTGATCTCTCCTGCTGTCCCCCATAATACTGCGCCGCAACGAGAAACATTGAAACGCACTGTCGGGCCGCCAGGAACAGGCAGCACACCGAAAAGAGGAAAAAAAAAAAAATTGGGAAAATTAAAAAAAAAAACGGTTGAAGCCAAAGTGATCCATGTCGGAAATAGTGTGATTCAAATGCGTACACCGGGATTGATGTATACGTGATATTTTGAGAACTGTAAGCAATTGGAAGCAATTGTGAAATCACATTGAACTGCTGATGACAGAGAACTCGGTAAGGATCCAATGGATGAGTGAATTGATCGAGAATCACGATTATACGAGGAATCAGGAAACTTATCTGTGAGCGAAGTCAGATTGTCACGGTGGAGCATCTAGCCGAGGCTGGTTGCCATTACGTGGATTGCCGAGGCCACATTTAGCCCCCGGGCAAATCTACAACCACCCGCAGTTGAGAGTAGCTGTTAAGACCTGAGAGGGATGGGAAAAGCCCACAGCTAAGATGCAACTCGCGTCTGGTTGTGGCATACTCTCATCGGGATAATGCACGTTTAAGTGGATGTTACGTGCATGTCGTAGTCCTACGATCTATCAATCTTGATTTTGGTACGCAAGATAAGCTAAAGGCGCGAGAGAGTGGGTTGGCGTTGGAAGATACTTGCTATCTTGTTGTCTCAAGTGAAATGCGCTGGAGAGAGCAGCCTGTCTGTGTTGTTGATGTCCTTCTAACTTGCGTCGTATATATTCCAGTTTGCAAGATCAATACAATGACGAGTTGTTTTTTCGTTACAGCGATATCCGAGATAAGGAAAAGAGTCGGTGAATGGTATTAGTAAACGTAAGCGCTCAATCATACCTTATTTATGGTTTTTCACCCAATGATAACTCAACAATGCTACATTCCAATGTGATCACATCTCCGGAGATGGAGAAGACATGACTAATGAAATACTGGAATGTCGATTAGATTTGGAGAACAGTGAATTCCGCTACGACGCAATTGTAGGCTGTTGGAGGGAGAGGAACTGAGTATACCTAGGGAAGATGGCAATGCCTCCCTTAAGGGAATGCGATTTAGTTACTACGATGCGTAGATTCAACAGTACTCAAGATACATGACGGCAGCAGGGAGGGGAGAGAGGTTAAGAGAGGGATGAGTATGTACTAATACAGATGGTTCACCGTCTCACACGATCGTGATTGCATTAGATGCCTTGATTAAGCATTCGTTTTGTATTGACGAAGGTGCAGATGCACTACCGAAGTCTCTCTGAGTAATTTTCCATTTGAGTCGTCACACTGCCATCCACCGTCTCACCAGATTTAACCGAAGGATTAAATTACTCTCTTGAATTTATGAATTTGTGATTCATAGATCGTGACATTGGGAGTTGGTTACTTTTCTTTAATTAATCGAAAACTTCTACACTTTCATTTTATCAAACAACATTTTTATCAAACAACAACAGTCGAGAAACATTTTATTAAATCCTTGGGTAGCTTCAACAGTAGAAAAAAGGGGAATGGGCGAATGGGAGAAGTTACTTCAACTTTAATTGATGGAATTGTTCAAAGTCGGTACTACACTGACTTTGCTCAACGAATATACTCCGATATCGACAGCGTCTGTTTCTCCGGGCTTCCTCCTCTTTTCATCTCCGCTTCGCTTCACAAATCCTTCACTGAGCATTGTCTGTATTTCCGCTAAGCTCTTTCCTTCTGTTTCTGGCACATATACGCAAATCAAACACCAGATAATAAAAGTGATCACAGTCAGTTGCCACATTGCTGCAAACGTCCCGAGTGTTTTGAACAGTTTCTGCAAGGCAAACCAAAAATCAAAACGACAAAGTCATAAATGGCCAACTAAAAATCTATTAAATTACCTGATAAATTTCAATAGTCACTGTAGTTGTAATTGCATAATACAAAACAGAGCAGACTCCAGCAATGACCTTCATATCAATCGAGAATAATTCACCTAAATAAGCTATTGGCAGTGGATTAAATGCAAATCCGAAGACAACGATATAGATGATGATGAAAACGCTTGGAATCCAGTTGACACTCTTCACATTCACACCGTGCTCCAAAAGCGTAAAGTAAGTTGATAGAACTGCTAGGGAGCCGAAAAATGGGGGACCTGACACTAGAAGCAGTCTTCTCTTTCCGGTGAATTTAACAACAGCCATGCAGACAATTCCGGAGATGACGACAGCGACTCCAGTGGCAATTATGGTGAAATCTACACCATGGAATTCAGCTTGTTTGACGATATGAGACTGAAAGGAGAGAATGGGTGCTGCACCAGTAACACCGATTGCGCTACTCAAGATCAGTTGAATCCAGCAAGCACGCCTGTTAGCTGGAGATTTGGATGCTTTCTTCAGTGTAGCGAAGAAGCCAATTGCCTTTGTCTTATCCTCACCGGAAACAATTCGCTTAACTTCCTCAAATTCTTTCTGCACATCATCCTTGCCCAGTGTCCACTTGAGAACCTCTTCCGCACGGATCAGCTGGTTCTTTTGGGTGAGGTATACTGCGCTCTCGGGGAGCCATATAAATAGCATAATAAATAGGACGGGACAAACGAGGTTAATCATTGCCATGGTGAAGCGACTGACATTCAAGGCAACTGTGTAGATGAAAAGGATTCCCAGATTGAGAGAGACAGCATTCATTGTACCCAAAGGTCCCCTTGTTCGTTTGCTGCTTATCTCACCGATGTACATGGGCACCACAGAGTAAGAGATGCCGCAGCCAATTCCCGCGAGAATTCTACCGAGGCACAGGATATTGGGACTATCAGCCAGACCCACAACGAGCCAGCTCAAAACTTTTGGTAAAGCACCAAGCAATAGGGTCCATTTTCTTCCAATTCTGTCCATACAGATCAACGGCATTATCGTACCAATGCCCACACCCAAGTACATCACACTCAAAACGAGAGCCTCCTGATCCGACGTCAGAGTGATGGAATCATCTTCTCCGAATTTTCCAAGAGTAGGTGTCGGCCATCCCTCATGAAGACCGCAGTCGAAAACAAGGAAATTACCTGTGTAAGTCCAATTAATTATTTCCACCAACAGATTCATTAAACTAGAGACAAACAGGTACTTACAAACTAATCCTATAATAAACTGATGAAAAATCTCGAGATCCATTTTGGGTCGTGTGGTTCAGGCGATTGACATTTCTGCTGAAACATAATTCTCTTCATCAATCACCCTCGAATTTTGGGTGGTAATTCAGTAGCGATTGAGTCGAAGTTGGCCCATCATCAGATGTAGAAGACAATTTCCGTTGGGAATCGAGCGCTAGGCATTGAACAATACCATTGCAACCGAGTGCTGAATGTGACGGCGAGGGAAGTGGTGACTGCTGTCCCGGTAGGACGTAATCGTCAAGGTTGGCCTGGCACGGGAATAAGCGAGAGAACCGAGAGAGCAAACCAAGAATCTTGGATTTCAATGACCCCACCCACCGGGTGGGCTGAAGGGTTGAGTTACGGATACACAGAGTCGCGGGGTCGCGGTGGTCAGAGGCACTGGTCAACGTGGCAAAGGGTCAACACTAACTAGATTCCTACCCACATATCTCTCGGTTGGGACGCGCGACACTACATAACGTCGGCTCTATCTGACACGCATGGTTGGCGGTACGAATCTACTTGGTACACAGTGATGACCGGTCTTGCTCCTCTACCCTATCTCATCTATCCTCCTCTGAGCCCTATCTCCGTGCATCCACTCACTCACTCCGAGTTCCCCCAACTCAGCTTAAGCAAGGTCCCACTGTGACAGTTATGACCTGAGCAATACAATGTTACGTTAGTATTAACGCGGCTATAGCCCCCAAACTGGCGAGCTGTGGACTGCCTTAACTTGGATTTACGATGGCCAAACGTACACCGCCAAGTAAAACGTTTTAACACCCATGGATATCGTCGATTGCTAAACTCCGCTGGAAATACCGCATGGGCAATTGCAACTCAACAACCTGAAGAGGAAAGTCATACCATTGAAGAAGGCCAATAACCAATTATGGAAAGAGACATTTATAGTTTCGCGCCCCGGGTAAACGACATCAGATCGTTCTAGATTGATGGCATCCGCTCTCAAATCCGGTACAATGGCTTCATACCAGTTACGACTAACTCTCTACTCACACCGAAAATCCCTACATCAAAATGAAAAAAAATGATAACAGCAATAGGATTCACCAGACAATTCGGAAAATGGAATTGCTGAAAATTCACCTCTTTCAAGAGGCGTTATTGAAACGAGGACATTAGTACATGATGATCAGAGTTGAATGGAGGAGTGGGGAATTCTCGATGGTACTTGCTGCATATAAAACTGAATACCAGTGAGGCCCTGGCCTCCTATCTCCCACTGGAAACTTAGCTTAGGTTAAATCGCTTGATTCCCCTGGAGTTGTAGTAGAGAGGGGAAGTGAGTTGAGTTCTCTCTCCCTACGAATCGTGCTTCCTCGTTCGAAATACTAATTAAGCAAAAAGTGGGGCTCGCTACGTGCCTCTGATTCACCCGGATACCTCCTTGCTTTCGTTGTACTCGTGTTCGTTTCCTTGGAAATGACCCTCGTTGTCATTGTCAAATGGCGTAGGCAATCTCTGGGTGAAGCGCAAGAGGATGAAACGCTAATTCCAACCCAACTGAGTTTAATCGCTACTTATTGTTTAACCGGTAATTAGTGCGTCAAAAGTGCCTCGTCGTTTCGAACATTGGGAAACGGATTTTTTTTTCCCCGGCAATTATCAGTGATCAACTTTGATAGATTAAGGAGATAATGATCATTAGCTTGGGATGAGGATAATTGTTTATCCTTCAATCCTTTCAGAGCTATATCTGTCCCTCGGAAAGTGGGTGATGTGCAATAAAATAACTTTGATAAAAACAAAAATGGTTATGTCGTTTGGCCAAGAACAAATTTCGAAGTATTTTTGTAAGTTCCAGTCATGGCGCGTCGAAGTGGAAACTTCGCGAGAAAATCTCAGATTGCTTCCTAAAATGGCAAGGCCGCGTTTTTCTTCTCTCTAGGTTATTCCATTATCACGCACGCCGGCCGCTCGCGGTCAAGGCAGATGCGGTAATCGCAGAGCTATTACGGTATAATACTATATGATGTACCTCACAATGAGAGAACTTCGATTACTGCATATCCTTGATCAATTCGCGATAATCACGGGAAATCGCGAGCGGTTATTTAAGACTTCTGTAATGCCTGTTACTCAATGGTAATTAAAGGTGATTGTGATTACGAGTGAGACTGACTGTTACGATGGTGACAAATGTTAAAACGGGTTTTACCAGGTAGGCCAGTAAAACAAGACTCGCGCTTATACTTGATACCACCAAAAAAAGTCCTGGCAGGCTGAAATTGCACTAAAATGTAGAGAAAATTCCCCTGATCTGAAATATGCATAATTAATTAAAAACTAAAGAAAGAATGAGGGCGAACGCCAAAAAACTACACCGGATTGATTTGTCTAATCCTATCGGAAAAATAAAAGTATCCAGAGGTTGGGCTGACCCAATTATTCAAATTGCAAGTAGAAGCAATGTTCCCAAGCTCTTCGTTATTTTTTATTTAATTTTTTAACACGATTTGGCACAAAAAGTCCCAAATAATCAGCTGATCACGTATGCCCGCCCCCCTGGTGCGCGCGTCGCTGGACAGGACATTTCAAACTCCTGCGCATCCCGCGTATATCCATGAGCGGCGCGTGCAACGGGGGGCCGGGCATACACAATCAGCTGATTGTTTGGGTCTTTTTGTGCTCAACGATGTTAAAAATTAATTAAAAAATCATAGTAGGATTAGGAACATTACTTCGACTCGAAATTTGAAGAATTAGATCAGCCCAACCTCTGAATATTTTTATCTTTTCGATAGGATTAAAACAATTAATCCAGTACAGTTTATTGGCGTTCGCCGCAACTTTTTAATTAATTTTTAATTAATTAAGCACATTTCTGCTGAACGTGTGGGTGCACATTTTTAATATCATGATGAGGGAAATTTTCTCTACATTTTTGAGGTGGTTAAGGTCCAATTTGACTGGCCTAAGGTGCTCACTGAAAAAGTGACTGATGTCAGAAGAATCTAGAGATTAGAATGTACCTTGATCAACAAGATACGACAAATATGGAAGAACCACTGCATCTACATCTGTAGCTGTCGACTCAATATTTACACTTAGTATTATCACAACTTTTAATAATCGTTGAGATCTCGATCCACTCACTAAATATAGTATAATTCGTTTAGATTATCAAAGTGATATCGATCACATTAGGTTGTTTCGACAGTCAAGTCTATCCATCGGAGAGGAATCGGATTCCTCGATTAATGCACGACCAAGTGAAAAATGAAGACTGAAGCCTCTATTCTACAGATTAGGATTCAGCCGTAAGTACCGCATATCAAGTCGTTTGGTTTGTGTACATCAGTAAAGCCAATGGCACTGGACGTGTCCCCTCCTCAGTACATTTCCCACTTCTGATTTTTTTTTCTATCTTCATGACAACTTCTCAAACATAATCCACAATTCACATATTTATGATTTCTTGATTAACCAGCAACCACCTCTGCGTTTGATTTATTTTCACTGCCATGATCAAGCGTAAACATGAGTTGTATTAATTTTCAGAATAGGATAGACTAGTGAGAGATGTGTGATTTCAGTGCAAACATTCACATCCATTGAAATAAAAAATTGCTTTACGCATGTTCACATCCGTATGAGTCGTAAAAATTGACAGACAGTTATCGTAAGTGTTATGAAAGACCTTAGACCTTACACGATTCCGTCAGCAATGCATCACGATATCTTAGAGAGAGAAAACATACTCTCGTCGTGAAATTTTATACATTTCATAAAAATTATTAGCAATCAATTCACAACAAAGAGGCGAGTTCTCGAACCGAGTCAAGTACTGATTACATCGCAATGTTTTGGATTTGAAGAAAGAAAACTTGTGAGCTTACTCAGTCAGCTAGACTTGGTTTGAGAAATCACATTTTTATTATGACTAAATTATCATTTTTTATTCAAGTATATAATTTAGTGACTGATTTTTATTTCTTTGAGTGAAATATCATTTCCTTATCAATTTTCGAGTCATGAGTTCCGTGATACAGGAAGAGACGCACTTCTTTTACCATTTTTTTTCTCAATGTAGCATTCCGAGAAAAGTGCCTGCAATATAAATCTGATGATTCTAGGTAACAGTTATGGACGCGGATATTTTTCTTTACCACTCATGTACGAGGTTATTGTACTAATGGTAATTGCACTGACGCTGGGATAATTATAAGTTGCGAGATACAATGGAAGAAAAATATAAAGTTCTGAGATAGTGAGTTTTAATGAAATTGGGAGAAATATATTTTTTGGCTTAATTTTATACTTTTCTCCCCTGGCGGGGCTCTGCATTTATCGGGCCAGCCGTGCGAAACTGTTGTAAAGTCTCCAACTGCGAAGATAGCGAGAGATCGCTGCTTCAAGAGGACAAAAAGAAAATCTGCAAAGTATATTTGCATTTACATTCAGTAATTAAACGTGCACCTCTGTTTCATCATAAATTTCTATTCATTAAAATCTGTGGTTTCTTGTCATTCCTGGATCTAATTACCCCGTCGAAATTCCACTTGATAAATACAATATTTTTTTTCTTATTCCAGATAAATCATTATTTCATTAAAATAGTATATTATATTATAGTATATATAGTATGATATGCATAGCTTACCTATGCACCGAAAAAAGCTGACCGAAAACGTCACATGCTTTTTTGTAAAAGGGATTTCCGAAGAAACATTTGTCCCTTAAATTCAATTCTCGTGATACAATTGTGAATAAAAAAATAACGCTGGAATAGTTTTTTCGTGTGAATCATGGGGGCTTTAAAAGTTTCTATAAAACTTTTTACTACTGCACGTAGAAAATAGAACAGAGTATAGAGCCGAACCTCCCCACCGGTTGAGGTTCAAAAGATTGCACTTTTTTCAATCAACAGATCGATATCAATGTGCCCAGTGCTTGGTTATAAAAATTCAATTTGAAATCGTTAGGTGTTGTTTTTTCTTGGAGGGAAAAAATCTATACTTGTTCAGGTATTTTCAGAGTTTGAACGTTGAAAATCTCGAGTGAAGGAAAATGAAGGCATAGGGGATGGAATAAGGAGAGAGACGATGGGGGTAGAAAATGTGTGGTCGAAGAACAGAAGACGGGGGGTTGTAAAAAGTTGTGAAAAAAAGAGGAGGAGTTGGTGTGTGAGCATGGTTGGGAGTTTTGGAAGTTAGTTGCGATTTACTCGGCATACCTGCCGTTTATTATGTATGCCACACAGTATAGGTACCTAATATCGGGCCTGGGGTGGAAAGTTGGCCACTGGAGACCTCCCAAAGGATATAAAAATACGACGGGAGACTTGGCGAGACGATGGTGAAGTGGGAAAGGCAGAGGGGAATATAGCCCAGAAAAGATGGTGTGGGGAAGGGAGAAGGAAGCTGTTGGAGAAGAGCTGTAAAATGAGAAATGCATGCCGAGGGCGGCAGGGTGACTCACCGTCGTGGGAGTCGTAGAGGTAGATGATTTTCTTCCAGCCATAGTGTCGCACCGTGTCGATGATGGCACGATGGTAATCCGGGCGCATGCTTATGGCGAAGTCGAGGAAACCCGAGGACGGCGTCAGTACCTGCAATCACAAATTCCATCTTGATTTTTTTCCGCGTGTAGCTGAGAACATCCTTGATTTACTCCCAGAGTTTCACATTGCGTGATGTTTGTAAGGAACTACTTCAGGGGATAAGCAGTGGCAGGGATTAAGTCGATGGTCTCTAAAAATGAGGTGATCAATCCGCTAATTTGATGTTTTATATTTTTTATAAAGTCCTGCCATTTCTATTAAAAACTTTGATAAAATGGAATTCGAATAAGGAAGAAAATTTGTGTACTTGATAAAATTTTTCAAATGCAATTCAGTGAATATTCTTCATTGAGAGATCATTGAGAGAATTATATCAATGGAATTCGGTTTTAAATTTTCTCACTATAGGGATGACATCTTTCATGTAGAACCACAGGACTCACTGTTTCCCTTTCATTTTACCCCACAAATTCAATGATGAGTTTGGGACCAGTCGATCTGATTTGCCTGGTATATACCTCGACATTTTTACGTGCGGCCGATGAAAAATCGAAATCCCCCATTGTCACTTTAGCCATGATTGTTTTTCCGTTTTTATCCCACCTCACTGCGGTATTTTTTATCCTCTAATTCTCTCATCATGAATGAAACACGGGGGAAAAAAGATAATTCAATTTATTCAGTGTCCCCAGGTATACCGAACATCGCATCCAACGGATCGATCGAGCCTTCCCATGCAAGCCACGTTGGTGCGTTTTCCAATTTACATTTTCGAATGAAATAGTCCAGTATAGTTGCCCCCCTTCTATCTCTTTTCTCGGTCATTCCCTCTCCACCGTTGAATTTATTCTGTCCACTGAATATATATACACATTTCGCATATCCGTATGATAAGCACACAACATGTGCTGTTTCATTATTCCCTGATGTTCAAATTTGGAAACAAGGAAATTAATGGAATTTAATGAGGAAACATTGCAGTATAGCTACTGAGAAATAAGACATGGAATAACGATTTACCCTAAAAATTATCCTCATTCGTGAATAATTTAGGCATGAAGAGTAGAATTCAATGAAAATTACGTCTTGATACGCAATTCCCGAGCGAAGTAAAGTTCAATGAAAAGTGTGAGTTGCAAGAGAAGTGGTACGAACCGTCGCGTGAATTCTACTGTCTCTTTCGTAAAAATTATCCGCCAGTCAGATGACTCACCGCAGTGTTGACAATAAATTATTTCGCAATTCTTCCCAACAATTGATCAATTTTATGGTAAAGAACGTACAAACAACACATCAGCCTCATAGAAATTATTGAATCTTTATTAATGTTCTTTATTCTTTATTTTGTTCAGTGTTGCTTTGGTTTAATTGATGTTTATAATTGATTCATATTTATAATTACCCTCTATCACTCAGAAATACTATTTACAGAGGTTTTAATTAAGTAGATAAAAATGATTTAAAGGACGGCATTATAAATCATGAAATGAACTTGTTAATATTCCACCAGAGTTACTGTTAAATTCCATAATCCGATTCATATCTTCAATAATATTCCAGCTCCAATCTGCATGAGATCAGTCGATTAATGAACTTGGACAAAATCCACACAAATTTCCTATTAACATTTTAAATTCATTCATCCGACCGTGGTAGGGAATTGAGAAAGTATCGGACGACCCTGGGGCCAATGAAAAAATCATCAAATCAATTTAAAGATGATGACATGCCTCGTAACTACTCATACATTATAAGTTATTATCGTGTTTATTTTTTCTGTCACTTCCTCTTTGGTGTCATCCTGTTTTACACCTTTGGTATTTTTTTCGAAAAGAATGAAAAAGTTAAATGGATATTTCTCCTGAATACAAAATTCATTTAATGATTCTCTCATCGACTCCAAGGCTGCTCATGTTTTTCAGAATTTTTAGTGCATGAAAAATGACTCATGTTGTTTTCTGTTCAATATTGATCGTTTGATTATCGAAAAAATATGTTATATAAAATATTGTTTTTTTTTAAAATCAGTTATTATATTCACTTATGACCACTTTGTCTTGATGTTGACAGGAAATTCAATTGAAATCATTTAGGAAGATTGAAGAGATCTCGTTGACAGTGGATCGCGTTATGCATGCTTGACATTGTAAACAAGTTCTGTGAAATGAAAGGAGTTTTGACAAAAATCAAATATTCACTCAGGAGCGAGAGAAAAATTGAAAAAATTTGTTTTCCTACCTTTTCAGGAAACCAAGGTGTGACGAAAGGCATCTGAAAAGTGTTGCTGTAAGAATGCAGAGTGTCGAACGAGTCGGGACTGACAGCGCCCAGCATCGAAAACACGCCCCGGCTGAATTGACGACAAACTTGAACAAAAAGAATAGGAAAAGCTGCATTTTAGATTAACATGACAAAGGCACCTTCGTCACCAAGAGACTCCCATTCTCTCTTTTTCTTTTTAACTCCAATTGCATCGCTAGTCTTCGAAAACATCATTCCTCTCACGCTTTTCTCCTCTCATTCTGTTTCAACTCCATTATCGCACACCCCCCACGCTCACCACAAAAATACAAACCATACGATATTCATAATTAAACAAAAAGAATTCCGCATTTCGCGGAAATTTTTTTCCCTCAAAATTGCGAATACGATTGTGCGCACAGAGAGAAAAATGTCAGTCAGCCGTACAAAAAAGAAGATGAAATCGTTAAAGCCACGAAATATGCTCGCGTTTTTTCAACTCGAGATATAATTACGAGTAATTACATCGTAATTTTCACTTTCTTTGGTGTATTTCTCTTCATAATTCGTAGTTAGAGAGGAAAATGTAGGCAGTGGCATTGTATCCGGGAATTTTTCGTGGGAGATATGTTTTCAGCTGGTAGTTGCATTCCCTGGAAAAATGGCAACGATGAAGAATAGTGGAATGATTCGTGCGGGACGATTCGTATCCGCAGTCAGAGGGTGGGATGTAGGATAGAAATGGGTAGAGGTGGAATGGTAGAGGGAAAAGTGTCGGCGCCAGTTCACTTGGCTATCCACGGGTGCGGAAGATATGCAATTTTTTGTTGAACAAGGTGGTTGAGGGGGTTGGAGGATGAAGCGGAGGGCACGATCATTCCCCCTTGCTCCAACAACCCGATGGCTCGGACTCGGTGAATTTGGACGCTATCCAGAAAGATGATGGACAGTGGACGAGACGGCCATTCCTCCCCCCATCCCTCCAGGCAAGAAAACTGTTTAAAACGATCTGCGGAGAAAATGTTTACGAGGTATGACAGGGCAAGCCAACAAATTTCACTTTTTTTCGGGGATTTCATTTGCCATATATCAAGGCAAATACCCCTCTACGAAAAACTATGGAAACATGAAAAACCAAACAAAATAGGAGGTCGTATACGACAGGTTATTAATTATAAATATTTTTTCTGTGTATTGACAATTATAGGCGGAGGACTTTATGCGAATTCACGAAACCTATTACGTTTGTCAGAACTCCTTTCTCCCGATTTTTTCACTCTTTTGGATTTTCTGGTCCATAAAAATGACTGTAATGACCGTTATTATATACCAGAGATATTTGTATCATAGACCTTTTGTCTCTGCGAGCAACAAAACAAAGATACCTCCACGAGATGAAACATGGAGAGTATGGCGGAGATGTTATAGTAATGAATTGTCTGTAAAAATAAAAATGTTCCCTCGTTAAATTCGATGAGACTAGTCTCCGAAGTACACAAAGGTGTCTAATGGAACTCGACTCGTCGACAGACAGTGGGAAAAGCACTGAGGGAGAAACGAAAGGAGATGGGTGGGTGGAAGTGGGAGGATAAAAAATGTAATAAAAGAATAGTCTCTTTTGGGAGGAGCGGGAGACAATCGGCTCAACGAAATCATGGCCCCGTTTTATTGATTACAGTTCACTCGGACCCATGACCTCACTTTTTTCTCGACTGATCCTCCTCCACCTCCCCATGCCATTCGACTCGTCTCCCGGTGAGGAGTAATACGATAAAGCCACTCATACAGGCTTCGGGATAGATTGAAGAAAACGTTCCAACGATCGCCTCAGCTCTTATACACCCAACTATGTTACTACTCCTTCAATCCCATCGTCCCCCACCTCTGTGGACATTCCCCTCGAGCCACAACTATCCGAGCAAACTTCATCGCAATATCACTTCTTATCGGTGTCATCCATTATTTTCTGTCACTTGGAATCCGCTTTTATTCGATTCTCCTGCAGCATCAACAAGAAATTTGTGATACTTTGGGATTTCACGTGTGTCAATCATTCTAAATGAAAAGAATTATTTTTCTCACCGGACTGCAATTGCAATTGAAATTTGTAATAATTCTTTATTAACGAATCATTTAACTTTTTGAATATTCCAGCGATTCTCTATTTATTCAGAGGATAATTTCCCTGAATTTCCAATCTGTTGAAGACTCAATGGTATTTCATGATTTTTCTAAATGAATGAGACATTTAGCTAATATTCTCTATTGAAAATGAATTTAATTTAGAGAAGGTCAATTATTTAAGTTGGAAAAAAGTTTGGGATTTAATTCGAGTGGAATTTTTCTGCAGCATTCTGAGATATTTCAAAACATGAAATCGCGTTTTTTGGCGATCGCCTCTTCACCATAAAATAGGAAATTATAACTTGTTTGTGTTAGAGTTCGATAAGATTAAAAACGTTGAAATTTTTTTTCTTGAAATAAATATGAGGTCGTTGACTCTTGCAATGATCGTTCTGACTCATTAATTTCTCTATCGATATTACGGAGTTTGTGATGTAATGGCTTGTTTTAATCATTCAATTATTGTGTGGTAAGAATTATGTTTAATTATATAATGTTTTTAAAAGATCGGAGTTTTTAGAAAAATTATGAGAACTTATTCTAATCGCTTTTCATTCCCGATTTTTAAACTGGGCGGTTCATTAATTTTAGTATCAACAATAGACATTGTTCAATATTATTGGCGTGTCAATTATTGAAGTTGGATGATAACAAATAAATTGTATTATGTGGAAAGAAGAACGACAAACATTGATCTTTTTATTCATATCATGAATAAGTAATTTGATCTTTTCGCGGAAACCATTACGTTTTCTTTGCTTTTAATAGTTATCGGTGTTAATTAAATTTATTATCAAAATGATAAACTTATTAACTTCATCGTCAATGTATCAAGGGTGGAAGCCCAATTGACCTTTTTCACCCCACAAACATCGTTTCCCCAGTTATTGGCCACTGTGATTAACGCTGACCTTAATTACTGCGGTTATATTGAACGCTGAAATCTCCTTCCTTCCTTTTTTTAATAATCGAGAATGAGTTATGCGATACGGTATCTATGAGTATAAAAATCGAGCTCTAAACCATTTTTAAACATTTCTCAAAATTTCAGTACACTTGGGTGCACCGGACGTACACATTTTTTGAAATTTCAAGGGCTTTCGCAATCGGAACGAAATTATTTCACGAAAATTTCGAAATGATTCAATTGCATTTCGCCATCATAATTGATTCCTTTATAAAACCCTCAATTGAAAATGATGAAATTCCAACTAATTTAGGTGGAATGAAGAATCAAACGTTTCTACTCAATTAATTAACTTACGTTAATTGTTGTAGTATAATTACTTCCATTCGGGGAATGGTCCAACTCAATTATATTGTTGATTTCCTTTGGTTTTGTTGGTTAATGGTGAAATCATTCGGTTTTGTAGAAAAATTCGTTAGAGCAATTGTGTAAACTTATTACGGAAAAATCATTTATATATGCGCACATAAATGGAATATGCCTTTTATCTCTCGGGCCTTTCATGCTTACTCTACACACGTTTGAACTCGCCATTACTCTCGTCTCCTCCTGCAAATGGAATTTCATCTCAAAATCGCGCAATCCAATTTTTCAAACGACTTGCCAGCGAGGTCCTTTTTGGAGGGGAAATTCGTTTAACGAAAAAAATCACATTACCTTGTCAAGTCTGTCTTGTGTTTCAGCTAGTCATTTTGGGGGATTTCTTGATGTTGTTAAGGAATTGTTTTTCATTGGACAGGGACTGGGAGTTGAATTCATTCGCGTGGAGATGATAAAATGGTGTAAAAAAATTATTCACTGGCAATTTGTCTGGTTTGGAGAGTACAAATGTTCGAACCCAAGGGAATACGGTTGAGTGCTCATAACTGGAAATGTTTATTAAATTTTTCATTCATTTTGACAAGTCAATAAATACATATTTTCAAACTCTTCGTTGAAATGAAAAACAAAATATTGAATTCTCTATAGATTAAAAATTTAAGGGAGTTATTGCTCGAATTTCCCACATTTTTACGAGTAATAAAAGTCGAGAATTAGTCGAAATTTGAAGGATTTATTCGATTCGCCAAAAAAAATTTTATATAAATTTGCTTTCACCCAATTAACAAATGTTATAAAAAATGTCAAGTTCTTTTACTGGAAATTTCGAATGCAATTTTCTCAAATACTTGGCACTGGAATAAAATTTTCTAATTAAATTATTAATTCAAGTAATTAATTGTCCGATAAATAACAACGACAGATACAAACGATTGCCGTGATACCCACCAATAAATATCGATTCTCGATTTTCGATAACCCCGATGCTTGCTAGATCAGAAGTAAGGGGTGGACAGCAACTCCCGGTGAATCCGGAAAACGAGCTCGCGATCTTGTCTTTCACTGATCCCAATTTCTCTCTCTCTCTCTCTATTCAATAGCAAACGAGAGGGAGAAAGGATAGACTGAGAAACAGTCTGTGTATATGCACCTCGGATGAGAAAGTGGAATGAGATAGCAGCGAAGGAGGTGGCAGATGGCCACGGCATTATCGACTTTATATTGGCAATAACCAAACAAGTTATTGGCTATTGTTATAACGACGATATACCGTCGAGATGGAGAGAAAGGACCAGTGTCTCTCAAGGTTTGCTAATGATCTGCGCTAAAGTTTTCAATGTATACAGAGTGCCACCATGAATTTCAATTAATGCCTTCATACTTGAATCACTGTTCATGCTAAATTATTTTACAATTCACCGATCACGATCAAGTAGATTAAATGTAATTGCACTGACTGGAATAATAAGTTGAATATTATTGGTCGCACTTTTGCTTCCGAATAGGAATTAAATGATAATTTTCTAAGCTGAATGAATAAATACCCATCAAAGAGGCCACCCCCTTTGCTTCAGCGATAAAAAACAATAAAAAATTCAGTGGAAAAAATGGGAGAAGATGGTATTCGCGCGTCAGGTACCGTTATTTTCATGCGGGAAAGTTTTATGTCCTCCTATAATTTTTCCACTGTTCTCTCTTTGGTGCGGATATAGT